GCGGCTGCGCGGCCTGAGATCGGGGAGCGGGGCCCCCGCGCGAGGCGGCGCCGAGGAGAGGCGAGCGGAGGAGGAGGACGGAGGAGGAGGAGGAGGAGGAGGAGGAGGAGGAGGAGGACGAGGGACAACGCTCTCGGTTTTCGCAGGATTTCGGCTCCCCGGGGGGGCCTGCAGAAGCCTAGGGAGGTTTCCTGGGAACCCTGGAGGTCCGTGGTGCCCTCCAGACCCTTGCTCGTAGAGGCTCGCCTCCACCGATCCAGCCTAGGGCCTAGGGCAGGGAGATACCACACTCATAGATGTGTGTGTACGCATGAATGCAGACATATATGCATATGTGAATGACTGCGTTGTTGTATGAATGTGCTTGTGTGCATGAACCCATGCATGCATGCATGCATGCATGTATGTGCGGACGCATGTACGTATGTATGTACGCATGAATGCGTGAATGAATGAATGAATGAATGAATGAATGAATGAATGAATGGATGCATGGATGAATGGATGAATGGATATATATATATATATATATGAATGTGTGTACGCATGGATACCTGAATGTGTGTGCGTGCGTACGTACGTACGCATACGTGTATGCATGTGCGTATGCATGCACGTGTGTATGCACGTATACATGGATGCATGCATGCATGCATGCATGTATGTATAGGTGTATGGACGTATGTATGCAAGTATGCATGTATGTATGCATGTATATATGTGTGTATGTGTGTATGGATGTATGTATGTATGTATGCATGTATGTGTGTATGTATGCATGTATGTATGTATGTATGTATGTATGTATGTATGTATGTGTATGTCTGTTTGTATGTATGTATGCATGGATGTATGTATGTATGTATGTATGTGTGTGTGTATGGATGTGTGTTTGTGTGTATGGATGTGTGTTTGTATGCAACTGTGTACGTATGTATGTATGTATGTATGTATGTATGTCTCGATGTATGTATGTGTAGATGTGTGTATGCATGCGTCTATGTATGTATACATGGTTGTATGTGCCTGCAGCCATGATTGTATGCAAATTGAATGTGTAGTTGAATGGATGTATGTATGGAAGGATGTATGAATGAATATCTCGGCGTAGATATGTGTGTATGCACATGCGTTTATGTATGTATGTGTGCATGCATGTATGTAGTTATGTATATATGTATGTGCGTATGTATGTGCGTATGTAGGTACGTATATATGTATATACGTATGTGCGTATGTATGTATGTAGAGTGTATACCGCAAATTTGTATGTAATTACCTGTATATACATTCTATACACACAAACGGACATACTCATGTGTGTCTATGTGTGCACGCATACACTAGTATCTGCAGGCCCGATGTGGGGCCATCAAGCTGCGCGGCTGAGGTTACCAACGCCCTGCGCTACGTAGCTCTGGTTTCTGGTTCCCAATGTGTTAGTACCACGTTACCCACTGTAAATCGCGCGAATGGGGGTGCTGAAAAACCCGTATTCTTTCACCGCCGAGCCGCGCTGCCTGAATGCCTCGTGGGTCTGGTGCACTTAAAAGTCCGCGAGATTCGCACACCCGAAGCCACAACCACTTGTATATTACGCTAGATTTGCGAAACCAGAACACTTGGCGAATTGCTCCAAAATCGCGTCATCAAGTCCACCACTCCTCCGTAAACTGCGCCAGGTACGCACTCCCGCGGCCAGAATACTTCATGCAAATGCGCCAAATTCGCGCTCCTGAATCCAGAGTCCCTCGCAAAGTACTCCAGACTCGCGCGCCCGAAGCCAAACACCCTCGTAAATTTCACCATGCTCGCGCTCCCGAAATCGGAAACCTTCAGTTGACTCCGAATCCGCCTTCCCGAAGCCAGAATCCCTTATACATATCACCAGAACCCGCGCTCCCGAATCCAGAAATCCTTCGAAATGTATGCGAGATTCGCGCTTGCAAATTACGCCCAATTCGCGAAGTGAGAAGGAAACGAAACGCTCAACTACAACTCCAACATCTCAAAGCACTTGCTGAATGCCAATCGTCCTCGCATGATGTCCCCATATAGTTTCAGAACAGCGCCGGCGCGCCCCAACAGAACTCTCACACCTACCATTCTAATATAGAGGCGGACGGCGGCAGAGGGAGAAGCCCTTGCGGATCCATATATACGTATATACATATACACATACAAAATCACACAGCTACATATAAGAGAACCCTCCGGGTCCAGAGGAGGTTGGGGGAACATTGGATACATCTTACTGCTTGCGATTGGCATCTGATCGAAATCGCGATGTACATGTCGAGCAATCTCGATCTCTACCTGTCGATCTTCCTCGATCGGTTCCACTTTATGTCCGCCACTGTGCTGCGAGGCACGTGTTGGGGTGTCCTCAGGTGCCTGGAGCTCTCCGCCCTCGATCCTGAGGGAATGAATACTAAAAGACGCGGACCTGACATCTCCTAATTTCCCGGTGCGCGTGGCGCCTTCCCGTGCGTTCTGGCGCGATTTTCTTCGAGCAAAAAAAAACAGGACGGGCCAAGAGGACCCCAAAAGGCCCCTGAGACGGTCCAAGAGCGCCCCGAGTCGCCCGAAGATCCCTGGCAGGCGCCGCAAATAAATACCTTTAGACGGCCAGCGAAGCCCCCCAAAGCGCCCCGAGAGCTCCCCAAGAAGCTCCCCGAGAGGGCCCAGAGAGGCCTAACCATGTATGTCCACTTGGTGGATGAAGGACTTGAGTGTTCTCGCCTTCTCACCTTCCCTCCCAGACGGCCCAGCAAGCCCCTCAGAGGGCCACCAGAGGGCCACCAGAGGGCCACCAGGGGGCCCAAGAGGGCCCCGAGACTGCCCAAGAGGCCCCTGAGACCGCCCCCGAGGGCCCCAAGAGGGGCCCAAGAGAGGCCCACAGGCAAGCATGTCGCTCACCTGGCAGGCAAGGCCGACGGCGACGAAGATCCGCGGCGCGCCGCACCGCTCGGCGCGCCCTGGCACCGAGGTCGGGAGGAGGGCAGGGCGGGAGAGTGCTTGGGAGGGGAGGGCGACATGGCACCCGGGACTGTCAAGATTGCCAAACGTTGCCTCCAAGACGGCCAAGATGGCCCAGCGTGACCTCCCAGCCGCCTCCAGGACTGCCGAAGTGGCCCCAAGACGGCCCACAAGATGCCCTCCACACGGCCCAAGAGACCCCCAAGGCGTCCCAATGGGGGCTCCGAGAGGACCTCCAGGAAGCCAACCGCATGTTCCCAACGCGCTTCAATCATGTCAGCGGTCTCGCCGTGTCGGGCGTCCGACGCGCCAAGACGGCCCTACGGGACCCCAGGATCCCCCCAAGACGGCCCGAGAGGCCCCCACGCGCAAGACTGCCCGAGAGGCACCCAAGACGGCCCCCACAGACCTCGAAGACTGCCCCGACGCGGCCAAAGAGGGACCCACGGCTGCCCAGAGAGGCGGCCCAAAAAGAGGCGCCAGGAGGCCTCCAGGAGCCCCCCCCGCAAGACGCTCCCAGGTAGTCCCGAGGAAGCCGCAGGACGGCCTCGAGAGGCCTCTCTGTCATTCTCGTCTTCGTTGTCCTTGTCTTATGTTGCTTCCATCGAACTTAAGGACCACATGCCAGAAATAAGTTCGAGCACGCCCGACAATATCGAAACAGTGTCAAACGAGTATCGCCTCCCATGGCCCGACACGTGAAAACCCTTCAGTTTCGGTACTTCCTTGGTGCTCGAAGTTCTCTGGCGATCAAGGCTAAAGCAGGTTGGGACATCATAATCCTCGTCCTCCTTCTCCTCCCTCTCATCCTCCGCCTCCTGTCGCTCACGGGTGCTCCCTGAGGGAGGTCAACAACGGCTCGGGGAGAACATAGTCCAGCAGTTTGGCCAGAGTTTGACGCAACGTTTTGCCGCGTGGGCATTTCCAACAGGCAGGGGGCGGCGGTTGATCGCAGTAGGCGTCTTCGACACATGTGCGATGTACGACGTTGACGTGTCCTTTCATTCATCTGCGGTTGTGCCATTGTGAAACTGCTGACTCATCCATCCCATCCCACTGGATCAACTGGGCGGTTCAAACACTCCTTGCAAACGCAAGGATATGATGGTGATGGGGAAGGGGAGGAGCATGGAGGAGGAACACGGCGGCGAAAGGACAGGCATGGGTTAGTGCTAGGAGGAGCGACGAAGCGTCAGCAGGATCTCGGTATAGACGAGAAGGAGGAGGAGGAGAAGGAGAGGTGGTAGAGGAGGAAGAGGAGGAGGAGGATGAGCAAGAGGAGGAGGAGGCGGAGGAGGGGGAAGGTGAGGATGAGGGGAACATCGTCGGAGACCCTAGGACAATAACAGGGCGGGCCTTGGCCACAAGCACACTTGACCACAAGCAAACATCGGGCGGAAAATGGTAGATCGCCTTCCCTGACTTCTCGGCCTGGGTCACAGCATGGCCCGCCCGATGACCTCGTCCCGCTCCCCCTCCACCTGCGCATTCGAGTCCTATTTCTCCACTTCCTCCAACTACTCCCTCCGGGCCTTCTTCCTTCAATGTGTGAAAATCTTCTGGGCCTCTGAAAACTGCCTGCTAGGCGCGTGACCCCGCTTTCAGCCTGGTCCGCTGGCATCTTGCGCGGAGTGCTGTAAACGCCGTCGCCCGTTGTCACCTTCCGGCCTCGCGGCGCACGCGCTTGAACGACGCACATTGGGAATTGCTCTCCCTGCTTACTAGGCACGCGCTGATTATCACATTCGTCGCCATCACTGTCAGTATGAGCAACGCGCTTACCATTAATGGTGCTGCAAACGTCGTTACTTTAGTTCGAGGCCCCCACTCAACGTACCAAGACAAAGAAAAGTAAGCATCTGAACGGTCTGCGTTTACATACATAGAGAGAGGGTTAGGCGGGAAATAGGAAGGTAAAGGGGATCAATGCACATGTATATGTATATAAGCATATGATAGAGAGGGAGAGGGAGAGAGAGAGAGAGGCAGAGAGGGGCAAAGACAGAAAGAAAGAGAGGGAGTGATTGAAACAGAGATGAACTAACATAGACGTACAACGGCTTCCTGCCACGAACGCGTGGGATCTGGTGGCTACCATCGAGCTGGCCGTTCAAACTGGAACGGTCCCGCTGCCGGGGGGAGGCCCCGGTTCCCCCGCGCTGCCGCCGCGCCAAGACGACGCGAGTCGAGCGCAGAGGGCGACAGGCGCACTCGCACGCAAAAGAACGACACACAGACACGCACCCACCTAGACATACATACATATACATACATATGCATATACGTGTGAGTACATAAACAGCGACATGCGTATGCCAATCGGCCAAAGAGAGCGAGCGAGAGGGAGAGAGAGAGAGAGAGAGAGAGAGAAGCCGAAAGAGAGAGAGAAAACGAGAGAACGAGAGAGAGAGAGAGAGAGCGGGACGGAGGGATGGTGAGCGCAGCGAGGCCGGGAGCAGAGGCGCGCCCAGTACTGGCGTCCGGGACGGCGCGGCGCAGTCGGCGTGGGCGCCTCTGGAGGCCGGTGCAAGAGGCCGGAGGCGGGGGGGGGGGGGTTCGCCGACGCTGAGCCCGAGCGCCCGCAGAGCGAGGAGGAGGGAGGGAGGGAAGGGAGGGAGGGGAGGGGAGGGGGAGGGAGGAGTAGCTGAGCATGAGGAGGTGAGCGCGAGGAGCGGGAGGCGGACTGGGAGGAGGGAGGGAGGGAGGGGAAACAAGTTATAAACTACCCGGTTCGAGCGAGTCAGCGGGCAAGAGCACACCGCGAGGGCCCCAGCAGGCAACACTATTGATTTGCTAGATTTGAAAGATGCTGGCGATCTCGCCGCTTGGGTTTACCGACGCCCCAAGATGGCCCAAGATCCCACCAAGATAGGCACAAGGAGCCCCAAAGAGGTTCCCAAGACGGCCTCACCTCCTCCTTCCCCTCCTTCCCCCTCCTCCTTCCTTCATCCTCCTCTCTCTTCTCTCATCCATCCTCCCTCCTCAGTCCTTGGGTTGCGACCCGAACGAAGGCTCCGTCCAGTCTGGCAGCGTACTTGGTCAGAGCCTCGCCACTCTTGCGAGCGGAGTCCATCAAGCATTCTCTCACCGCCTTGCGGCGCTCGTCTCCCTGCCGTTCTCCAGACGGCATGTCAAGTCTGGAAATGGTGACGTCACGGCCCTTCGCGCTGGTCAGAATCGCATCGTCTATGTCATCGAATTTCCGCCGCAGATCCGCCTCGAGAGCCCGGCGGACACGTTCAGTACGCTTGCAGTCGTTCAGCACGCTTGTGAGGTGCGAGTGTCGTGGGGGTTCCAAGCCTGACAGTCCCACGTGAGGGTAGCTGACGACCGCTCGCCCTTTGGCACCCTGAGTCGGGGCCCCACGTATCTTGTCGAAGTAGGCTGAAGCGTCCATATTCCATGGGGCAGATGTCCACGTTTGACCTTGAGGCGTCGATCACACAGACAAGCGGTTTAAGGCTGCTTCGGCGCCATGGGTCCCTCGCATCGCCTTCCATGGATCCAGCTCTGGGGCCTGCCATGGGTCGGCCCCTCTGCGGTCTCTCCCTGCCGCGTGCGGCTTCCAGGTTGGCATGGACAGGCGAATCAGCGCCTGCTGGAGCCCCGCCGAGTGGCCCGGAGCTCGCTGGAGCTCATTGGGTCCGGGCCTGCTGACGCAGCTGAGGTAGAGTGAGGATCGCCTGCGCGGCGTGAGCCGCGGCCTTTTCTGACCAGACGCTGAGGCCAGAGAACATCTTTATCACCGATCGCTCTGGCGAGCGCCCCCTTCACATTCGAATCCCCTCTGATTCTCATAGCTCTTCTCTGCCATCGCTTTCCGTCTCTTGAAATCGACGCTGCTCAACAGCTCCGCCACCACTGTCGCCCCAAGGACGGCAACAGTGAACAAACGATGTCCGAGATCGAATCTCTTCCCACTTGGCGAGCGCACGCGCAAACACTACACAGTAATATCACTGCACGCACGACTGTGAGACAAGGGTGAGAGGGAAGATGTGTTTGGGGATGTGGCATAGGAAGGATCAGTATCGCGGGTCTTGGGCGTAAAGACAGATGACCCTCGATCTCAAGCCCCAGGAACATGCATTCAGGAACGGGTCTGAAATGTGACGGCACAAGACCCCATTCCAACAACACTGCGTCCAGGTCAGGAATCGCATTGGACAAACAAGCTCGGGCCGTCGGGGCCTGGTGGGCAGGCGCTTCTTTGAGGGATATCGGAGCAATCTTGAGAAGCCACCCGGGCGCTCGTCGGAAGCATTTTGCCGGGACCTTGGGTTCCTCTGGATCGCCAAGTTGGGGCCTCTTAGGGGATCTTTTGGGGCTTTTCGGGGGCTCATGGGGGCTCATGGCGCCATCCTGGGGTCAACTTTGGGCGGAAGGTTCGACATGTGTGTGGCCGACTTGGGGTGCCTTGGGCCGGCATCCACCCCACATCTTGGTCAAATGATACGATGGCCGCACACCCGATTATCTCAAAAACATGCTAAATAAACCCATAGCGTACAACAGCAGAACGTCCACACACGGACGCACACGTCGAAATCATACGGCACATATTACGCATGTAAAAATGCCAACGTGATAGTTCAACAACCCACTGGTCACTCATCGCGAACCTTGCAGATGTCTAACAGTGCACACTTATGGAAATCCATCTGGTTTTAGCAGTCTCGTCCAGAACACGCATTCTCATCTCGCCACGCGGTGCATTTGCGTTAACTTCGCATGCGCCCAGCGCGCTGATCAATACCGAATGACACCCGGCGAGCCACGCGCGAACGCCACCAAGCACGCGTGTTTACAAATGACAAAAGCGATTGACTGTCCAAGCGTGTCAAGATAAAACTCACAGATCACAGATGAGAATGCACGTAGCGCTCAAGAAAAAAAACAATTGTCTTCAATGTCTGCGTGCGCATGTCTTCACCATCGCCCTCACCAGCGCCATCGCATCACCGCCGCCATCGGCACCACCAATCGCCGCCACCACAGACACATGGGCATCACCATCCTGATCCTCGTTACCTTCGTTCCCAACATCGGCGCCGTCATTGGCTGTGCCGCCGTCAACGTCATCATTGCCAACACCAGTTGTCGCGGTTGTCGACGTTGCCATGGTACCGCGCCCGCCCGACTCACCGTCCCGTGCTGAAGTGCCAGTGCACCAGCGCGGCCTTTGAGAAATGCTGGGATGCTCCCATCCGTGAGCGCCATCGCGGCCGCATCAGTTGTGCGAAACCAGCTGGTCGCCCTGCGCGCGAACTGCCGCGCGACAGCGCGGCCGCAGATATGTGCTGGCAAATGCAGATCGGCAAACCCAATCGTAACCGCATGCGTTGTGTTATTCCGCCGCCAGCTCATGAGTTGACTACTATTGCTTGCGCCGCGTAGACTGCACCATACACGAGGTTCACAACAGAGATTGCACCACAGAGCTCCCACCGGATAGATTCCACGACCTGCACCAGCCGAATCGATTGCGCCATGCAGAGCCGAATCGATTGCGCCATGCAGAGCCGAATCGATTGCCAACGCATGCAGAGCCGAATCGATTGCGCCGTGCACGGGCCGCACCACACACGTATCACGCTGGTCCTGCAAGAGCCCACGGCTTGGGGCCCACGCTGGCCAGCATCTGCAGAGTCTTCTCTGGCAGCTACCCTCTAGAGAACCCCGTCTGGATACCCGAATGTTCTGCACTACAGTTGGGGCGGGCCTGTCCCCCTACAGGCGGGCTTTGGACGACTAATGAGACATAGCCAAACCAAAAATTAAACAACAAGTCAAAACAAATACTCAAACATCGTCCCCATATTATTGTTCGACGATTTTGAATAGTCCTCCTGTAGAGGGACACGCCAGACTTAATACTACCGGCACGTCCGCTGCGACCTCTTGGGAGCACCAGGCATGCTGGCGATGTCGCCGGCGCCGCCTCGTCCTCGGACTCCTCCTTCTCAACATCCCCCCACCAACTGCTGTTCAATTCCTCCAGCCTCAGGCATCCAGGACACACGACCAACACTCCGCTCGGAAGACGACGGCGACGACGAGACCAAGCCAAAGGAAAACCACATTTCTTTCGGAGGCCAGCTCACGCCTCCACAAAGCCAGCCTGTCGGCTGCTTTTGCGTTGCAAGCCCTACTTCAACTCCCAAGGCGATTGTGCGACTCGCGAGCGCAACTCGAGCGGATAGGAAAGAACAGCTATGATGGGAAGGTTTGGGTACTCTCTCTCTCTCTCTCTCTCCCATTCACACTCGTCTCTCCTGACTTCCCCCACTCGCTCCCACAATTAGAGGAGATCGACTGCATAACTAATCAATCCGAAATAGCTTTGTTCATCGGATCCGCAACAAAGACGAAACATGTTCTGTGTATATATATATGTATCAGACTCAAGGGCCGAACGGTCATTCATTGGCCCTGGGTGCGTGGCTCTAATGAAGATCCGTGGTGAGGATTCTGCTTGTTGCGTTGATGTTGTTTGTTGTCGTCGTCCCCCCTGCGACCCACCCCGCGACCCACCCCGCGACCCACCCCGCGACCCACCCCGCGACCCACCCCGCGACCCACCCCGCGATCCACCCCGCGACCCACCCCACGACCCACCCG